GTGAGTGGCTTGAAGGTAATACAGTCCAAACTTTGCTGATTTAGAAAAGAATGTCCTCCAGAGAGGAATCATCACATTGCGTCATGCGTTATTTGGCTTCTTCTGGATTATCACTTAAATATTAATCCACTTCTTATACAGGTAGCACTATCCTCTAATGTCAGAAATCTCTGTGTACCCACATTTGATAAAACATTGTTTAAAATGATGTCACTCTTCCTGCAGGTTTTATTGTTAACTGTTTAATAGTTTGTGTTGAAGCATATTAATGACATGACTACACTATAATATTGGCGTAATTGGTTGATCATAGTCATATACTGCCATATCAGTGTCTGTACATAAACATTAGCTTAAACAAGAGCTATATTTAGAGTTACAAATTTTAAAGCTGCTCTCAGAAACATCGAGGCCTGACAAACAGAACAAACACTAAGAAGGAAAGGACGTCGAGGCAGCCTACATGTACCTGCTGTACCATTTAATAGTTTATTGATTTGTCAGGCTGTAGAACAGGGACGCAAACATGCTTTTCACAAACATTTCCTTTATTGGTGTGAAAGATGTACCATATATAAGTAGAAATTAAAGCCAGTAGTGTTGAATTTTATTTAATGATTTGCTGCAGACTGGCTTGTACTAATAAACTTTTACTATCACATAGAGTATCCTACAATAAGCGTGCACAGTAATGAGGATAAATTAATCAGCAGATATGATATTATTTATATAACTTGACTGTTTTAAGACCTGTGTTTCAATTCACCTCCTCCGTCTCTCATGTGTATTGCTAATGACTAATTACAAAATGTTTTCATTGTTTGTTCTGTACTGCTGCTGATCAGTGCAGGCCTCCCTTGGATATCGCAACCTTGATGTCCACAGCAGTCGTATTGCCTGATTAGAGCTAAATTAAATTCCAAAAACAAGCTTATTCCCTAATGAGCTTTCAAATACACTTACAGTACGCATCTTGAAATCACCTGAGGTCAGATTTTTACAAATATGAATTGGATATTGCACATGACCGCTGTGCATAAGCTTCCTAACCCGAACATTAGAATGTTCCTGTAAGTATCCTGCTAAAGAGCTTCAAAATACAGCACATCTGCTAGATGTAATATATTGGTGGTTATAAAGGACTTGTCAGCCATGTGTGCTTACAAAAATACAAACCAAGCCTCAGTCTGAATAAAGAGTTTTCAGTGTGAGCCCCCAACAAAGAAACTACAGACATGGGTTAGCTGGGTGTTGAGTCTGTGGAGCCAAAGTAAGCCTCCCCATCAGGCCGCACTGGTGGCACCGTGTGGCATCTTGTGCTTCATTGCATATGTATCCATTCATACACCTGAGACCGCACTGATGTATACACGCAGTGTGTTTGTACATGCCATGTTTGAGTATGCCATGCATATGTACAGGTACTTATGTGAGTATTTATGGCTGACTAGAGAAAATGACCTTGTGTGAAATAGAAATTAACTTCCTTATTGCGAAAAAAATGAAATTGTATCCTGCAATTTGATGAAATATTCACAAGAGGGTGGTGTTTCAGTAGAACGAAAGCCCACATGCTGTGTTTATTAATCAAACACATCATTTTTTCAGATACTAAAATAAAATATTTTGCACTTGTTGCACTTTTTTGAAACTTGTAGTGAGCTGTCCAAGCTCCAATGGTGTGTATGAATTCCATGTCTCTTATGTAAACATGGTGATATTTTGCCATTTAGTCTGCACATTTAAAGGCAAGATCTCTCACACACAGCCAAACTGATGTGATTGTGCATGTAAGCTTGGTTTAGTGTTGTACGGTTACATTAGTGGGATGGAAGAGTGATTGCTCTGTGCCTGGGTGAGTAAGGCTACTCCAAAAGGTGACTGCTTTCTTCCACTCTTAAGCACATCCTTTTCTTAAACCTCTATGAATCCCTCCCTCCTCATGCTCCTCCCATCGCCCTGTCTATCTGCAGTACACGTGCTTTGTGTAAGACATACTCACAGACAATGACAATGAGAGAAACTGAGAATGAGATTTGAGACAAGCTCATTCCCTCTCTAGTACCTTCTTCCTCACTCTGTTGCTCACTCACTGGCTCGCTCGCTCCCTGAGTTGCTACGTGGACTCCATCATCAAAACACACAGTGAGGCATGCTGGCTCGCTCACTCTCTGTAGCTTGTGGATACACATGCACATAGCTCACCCTGGAGCCAGCATTCAAGATGCAGCAGCAAGAAGGCATGTCTTCTGGTGCCCTATCAGGTAAATGCAATATGAGATGTATGTCTCTGTTATCCTTCCCTTTTTCTGCATCATTGTCCATTTTGTTTCACTGTTAAATGACACATTTTTATTTTCTCTAGTTCCACTGGTGTCTCTCCCATTCTCTTTCTCTTGTAGCCATCTGCCTATTTTCCTGTAGTAATTTTTCTCTTATGGATGCCCTCGAGCACATGCTATAAGAGGTGATAACCATAATGACTGATACTGTAGAAAAACAGGAGGTGTACCTTTTTCCATATGGCAGTGCTGGAAGGAGTACATTAAGTTGGAGTAGTTCCTGCTACTATGACCGCCTCACATCCAAAACACAGCTGGGGAACTACATATGGTCTCTGACCCAGATGACAAGGCTTGTGCTACTTTAGCTGGAATATCTTTATTTTGCTAGTCTTGAGTGGAAATGTAGGTCATATATGAAATTCAAAACATATAAGATATCACAGCAGGGGCTTGGTGTAACAGTGGAAGAGAGTATTTACCTGAGCTGTGTTTAGCCTGTGGTCGATACTGTACTTGTCCTTGGTGGTGACGACAATCGTGCTGAGTACTGACCTGGGAAATAGACACTCATCTATCATTAGTTATGTAATTCATTTGATTAGAGACAGTACAGTGTTTACCTGGAGGTAAAATCCATTGTAGTTCTGGTTTCTTTTGATTAACAGTAATTGGATGTTAGGTTATAAAATCCAGGTTATGAATTAAAACATTTAAATGCAGGAGAAAGACGTTAAGGCAAAGTGTGGGAGCAACAAATAATGAGACTTTGTATTGACCCTGAAGATTAACAACTAAAATGATGAATTGGATTTTGGCCTCATTCAAATACACCTTTATTATAATCAGGTTCTCATGCCACAGGGTTTATGATAGTGACATTTAAACATCACTCCTTTTCAGACACTTGTCACCCTTCACCAGCTTCAACCAAGCTCCCAGTTTATCAGCATAACCTTGAACTGAGGTTGATTCACATTATCCATTTACTTTATGGTCATGTTAGACAAATGGCTGTTTCAGTATCTCAGAATAAACAAGAAAGGCATAATTTTCCCTGAAGTGTGTAGTATTGGCCTACAGTAGTGACATAGCAGGTGGCAAGCAAGATTACATAATGTGTGTGAGTGTGAAAGAGAAATATGAAGGTTCACAGGAAGTTAAAGGAGAGAACAGTGTAAAAATGACTTATTTAATGTAACACAAAAAGGTACAGAACATGCACTCTCGACCTTTTAGTTATGCATTTCTGCTGCATGCTGCTCTGGTTTCCTTTCTGATGACAGTACATTTTTTCTGATTTCCTTGGCACGGTTTCCACGACATTCTGAATGTGCAAGACTCTTAATCAGAGAGCCAAACAGCACTGAAAAGAACTGGAAACAAGCATTTCCTGAATATACTGCAGACCACATGCACACAGCTGTGTTTTCATTCCTTATGGGGACTTTACATTGACTTTACATTTCCTGTAGACCTATCCTAACCTTAACCACAACCACTTGACCTCAAACCAGGTTGCCACCATACAATTCAGTGATTCCCTTGTGGGGACCAGAGATGTAATGCATTTCCTAGCCCCTTACCCTAATCTTAAACACCACAACTAAATGCCAACAACCCTTACTCTAACCTAAACCTAATTCTATCTTTTTGACCTCACTCTAGTTGAAAGTCTTTGTCTTCACATACAATTTTTATGCCATGCTGTTCAAATGCAGACAAGGATGATGAAGGCTGGTACATGATAGTCTGCTGTCATTATACTATGTTTCCTTTGTAGTCAGTTGCCTGGGTTGTATCTGCACCAGAGTCTCTAGTGCAACCTGTGTACAAGTATAGTAGCAGTGATTCAAACAGAAAGAGCTTGAGCACATTCATACTGTATGTAGAAGACCAATCTTTGATCACTTCCCTGCTTGACTGAAGGTTGCAACTGCAGATGAAATTTTAATTGATGACCAGAGGGTACAAAACCATCCAAGCTTCATATTAAAGCTGTGGGTGTCAAAAGCAGAGACAAACTTTTTCCAGCATGCTCTGCTGTGCTACTGACTGACTGACACATCTTCAGGGTTCACGCTGTGGTATCTTCGTGCTCCTAGAGCACATTTAATTCTGCCAACTGTTTGAGCCTGGTTGTCAGAGGCTGCGTCTGCTCTTGTGTTACCTTAAGTTGTGATCGGTGGCAGTAGAGAACTGAAGGTGCCAGAAAAGCTCATGTCATTTAGTTACTTGCATAGAATTCCCCAAAAGATAGGAGAGGAACTTCAGTCACTATCTGTGCATGTGGGCCTACACTGTGGCTGTGGTAATGTTGCTTCACATGAGCAGAAAACAAGATGGAGTTTCTAAATCTCTCAAACCTGCATCAGAGCATGCTGCTGTAGGCATTGGCATGTAGACAGGCAGGATTTCTGACTTTTTACTGTATCTCTTCCTGTCACTATTCCCTGTTCAGTTATTATCTCTGAAAGTTTAAAACATTTTGTTGTACTATTGCTTGTATTACATGAAACTAATATTTCAAGAAAATGATTTCTGTGATCATGGATAAAATGAAAATAACGCAATTGCGTGGTGGCATCATCATTATTTATTTATTTAAATTAACTTATTTGTTTTAATTGACTGATGAATTGATTAGGCTAGGGTTTGATTCGGACTAAATGTAAATAAACTGGGCCAACCGGTTGCGCAATCTTCCGCGGACCGCAATCAGTTGAGGTAGACACATCAAGTTTCCGGTCTGGATACCGGGATAGAACAAAACCAGCATGGCAACTTGAGAAACGGGTTAAAAACATCTGTTATCATGTAGCCGACGGGGTATTTTTCACCCAAATGGTTGGAGGAGTCGTTGGGGACTGTGAAACACCCGAGAACAGCAGTAAGTGTTACAAAACAACTCTGTGTGTTTATGAAACACCGCCAATTAGCGTTAATGATCTTTCTGGAGAAACTGTGATGTTACAGACACTGCACAGTGGCGACTTATGTTTCTCTGAAGGAACATTCAACAGTTACACCAGGAGAGTAAAAGACTGTTTCTGCTGTGTTGCTTTATTGAATTAAATGAGGCTATGTATACTGTAGTTGAAAGACTGACAGTCTGTTCAGCCTTTCTTGCCTCTGTCTCGTCTGTCTGCTCTCTCATAATTAAGCTTGTGGAACTAATTCTGAATTGCGTAATTTCATCAACACCAAGATTAAATATCTGTTACTAAAGAAGCTCTGCTAAATGGAAAGCTGTGAGGTTGGCCTGCTCTTGTGCACAGGAGGAGCTAATCAGGGACATGCTGTAGCTGCAGCTCTCTGCGTGTTTGTGCATGAATGTTGCACTTATGATTTAGTTTCTAATGACATGTGATTAGGTTATTTGGGATATGAAGAGAAAATGAGCCAAGAGACCTGACTTATAGGGTAGTGACAGACCCAAACTTAAGTTCCAGTGTACAGGAGCTTTGTCTCCACAGTATTATAAATAAGATTATTAAAAAATACATGGCAAACGTGTCAGCGCACTGTACTGGATGAGTTATATAGGCCTGCATCTCAATTTACTGAACATTGGTGAAACGGTATGACTGAACAGACTCGAGTTTTATATTCTTTACCTCAACTTTACATTTCTGAGAACAGAGAAGAAAACCTCCCATTTCTAAGATGCTACCAGAAGCACAACCCCTTTGGAATGAAGTGTAAAAAATAAATAAGATTCTGGGTAACTAGATAAGTATACCATATGTTTCAGTGTTTTCTCAGTGGCTGTTTATCAGTAATGGCTGTAGTATGGGTTTATGTAGAGAAGCTGCTCTGCATCGGCTGTCCTCTTTGCAGAAAGAGCAGCATCCCTACGTACAACAGCACACACTAACCCACATACTCCACTAGAGATGACCAGCAGGTGATCTAGATCTTCACAGAAATGCTGTCGTGAATGTTCAAATGCTTGAGTTTAGCCATCAGAAATGTATTTTCTTACTGTATACAGTGTGAGGAGATGCTAAACAAAACAGCCTAGTAATGAAAACTTGGATTTTGCTGTGTTGACTGATGTAATCACAGTGTTTCTGTAACTGTTACCCTTGCGTGAGCATTGATGGATTGCATTTCCTGTGTGAAAATGCATATATTGCTTTTCTGAGATTTATGTCATCTGATCACTGGAGACGCACAAGAATCCAATTAATGCTGTTGTTTTATATTTATTCCTTTTTCACCTGACAGCCACAGAGTGATTGAAGTGAAAAAAGTGCCGAGTGCGCAGTAATCATTACCTTCCCCTGGCACTTCTAATTAAGAAAAAAGTTACGGCATTCACTGAGCAAAACAAGTCTTTGGAAAAATTCTCTTTTCACAAAGATGTCTTCTCATTGTGTCACCATGTTTCCTCTCCTCTTTAGATGTGCTGTGCCCATCGAGACACTGGATGTCACGCGGTCACTCTTGTGAGGAGCGAGCTCTGTGGAACCCAAAGCCCTGTGTGGTCGCTGACTCCCAGATGCTCCTTCTGAATGAGGAGGAGGTGGTGAGAGCCGTGCCGTATCCCTCTGTCACCACTGTCTTTCTCATTTGCTCATGTTCGGTTTTCTTTGTCTTTGTCAATTTCATTTTCCTCTTTATTTTACTGTCTGCACTGTTAAATTATTGATGATGACACCAAAACAAACCACCTATAAAGAAACACAAGCTCCTGTGTGAATCCTGTTTTGTGTGAAAATTGATTTGCATTTAAATTCATCACAGCGGTGACCACAAGTAGCCAGATTATGCAGAGCGGGCAGAGTCTGGTTGTTTGCCTCTGTTGTTTTGATTAGTGTCACACTGGATTATGCAGGCGTTCGTGAGATTCGAGGTCTTGCTATCAGCAGGGTAATCTAACTTACACCGTTGGCGGCTATTTCCTGTCCTTACTGAACAGCTTTGTGGGAGCTAATATTTAAAGCCCCCACATACCCAACACCTATACATGTGTCTGGTTGTGTGTCTTCTCTAGACTGACTCATTACTAGTCTTGAGAAATATAGCTCATATCAGTATTTTCCAATGTTTATATACATCTTCATATGGTTTGTGAAACCACATGAACCAGATAACCAAGAATCCAAAGCCAAATAATTAAATTAACATTTAAAGCAGTGAACTATGGTCGACTGTTATAAATAACACAATATAGACCTCTTCATTTGTGTAAAATAAAAACTTCAGTAACTAATTGTTAACACATTTGGATAGCAGAAATAAGAAGACTTAGAAGATGATGAGCCTGGCTCGACTTTTTCGTAAGTGAATTATAGCATGAATACTGTTTGCTTTTTTATCTTTCATCACTGTGATAAATTACCAGTGCTTAAAAAGATGCTTTGTCCTGGTACTATAAACAGCTGTACAGTGCTTTGGGCGGGCACTTCCAGGACTGTATTCAGTCATTTCACCTACACCTTACCATGCACTTGACTGACATCTCCCTCACTCCATTGTTAGTACAGAGGGGTGACTTATACTGTACCTTCTCGGTTTGTGTTTGTGCATGACATCCCTTGCATAATGTCTCGTATGCATCTGGCCATCTTAAACCTGAGCCCATTCATTTCGGTGATGGCTCCACGCCCAAAACTTTCTGCTGCTTCTGCCTGATCCTTTTGCTGTGAGTGCCATTGACTCTCACAGTTAGCATCTGTCTGTAACTGAACATTGCTGCCTGCGTGCACCCATCGATGGTACAGAAATAATGTCTGAGGATGACTCCTGGTGGTTTTTAAATATTCAGTATTTTAGATGTAATGAGTAAACTTGTGAAAAATCCCAGAATATGACATGACATACAGCTAAAGCCACTATGCGAAAACTGTCGGCAATAAATTAAGTGATAGCTGCTTTGGAGAATTACTTAAGTCCTCTTCTCTGAGGCCTCGGTAAAGTAACAAGACTCTAGCCCTCCTGCTAGTTTTTCTTTGTCTGCAATGACTAAGGTATGCTGAAACAGAACAATAATTGCAGGGAGGAATTAGAGTATTTCAATCGACCCATTGGCTGGCCTTTTCTCTACAGGGCTTTTTGTTTAACAGCAACAAAGCACAACAGTCTTTAAATGCATCCATCTACTGCAGAGACCCAGACTTTGAAAGGTCATTTGTAACATTGTTGGATTTCTGTTATGTCAGCAAACGACAGGTCAGATCGATGACACAGTCGCTCCAGATGAAGGTAGGGTGACATGGTTTAGACAGCACAATAAGCTCAGTAGAAGGGGTCAGATTATTAACTGCAGTCATACGGTCAAACGTTTACATGCACTCCTCAGGGACTGATAAAGTTGTTATGGCACTATTAGGTTTTCAGTTATATTAGTAACCCTCAGACTCATGTGTCATTATTGACTATACACTTTCATCTGTGTTTGTGACTGTGGCATTATCAATAATCAGAAGTGATAGAAAATAGCGTCCTGTAACCAATAGCCATTTGTTCCTGTTCTCAGTGTGAGCTGCAGCCTACCTAATGACACAGCACATTTCTTACAAGCCTTTTAGTCCAAATACCTGAAGTCCTAAATCCAAACCAACTGATGTGATTCACTACAAAATCACTCTGATTGTACAGCAGTTTTACAGAGTGGAGCTTTTTACACCACAGATGATCTTTGGCTTTTAAGCTGACAGCACTTGATTTTGGCCTCACCTTAAGTTACCCACAGAATTCACATTAAAAACTGGCGTTTTTTTAAGGAAAGCAGTGCTGCTGTGTAGCATCCTGAGGTGGACCAAACATAGTTACAAGGAAAGAAGGGAATGGATTATTGATTAGGTTTATTTTAGCATTAATTTAGATACAATCCATTAAATATGCCCCTGATATTTCAGGGTTGTGTGTCTAATAATATATTTTTTCCTTATTCAGCCTTTATTTGCTTAGCTCTGGCCTGTATTCTCCTTTCTATGCCACACTAAGCAAACTAGAGGAAACCAAAAGGTTAAAAAAAATGTGTGGGGGAAAAATCAATGTATAAGTTTTGATTGATCGTTGGCTGTGAAGCAGGTTTTGCTCCAGGAGTTTTAGCAAACAGTCACTTCTTTATTCCTTTGTTTCTCCCTTTTTTAAAATCCCTTTTTGTTTTTGTGTCTTTATTTATTTTTTGTTGGATTCTCCTTCTGCAGAATGTTTCTCATCCCTGCTCTCACGGTTCTGTTCTACTCTTTAACATATAATTGAAGCACAGTATTACAAGGAGCAGCTGATGCTGATATTGCCATTTGTACCACATTGTTTACTCAATAAATGTTTGTGGCTTTATTTGCCAGAGGCAATTAAGCCATTAGCCATTTGTGCAGCCAATAGGACGCCTCACTAATCACAAGAGGAGAGCCTGAAGGGAGGAATGTAGTGACACCGAGTGGATGTGAAATAGTTTGTACTTTTGTATTCTGTGACTTTATTATTTTTAGGTATGTTTCCTCCTCTCCATTAATATTTTAGGCATCTGAATGAAAGTAATGCTCACCATTAAAAAGTGATGACTAATAATTGGATGAGTGGATAAATTGCTGGATTATAAAATGATTTATGATTATAATAAATCCAGATTGTACTGCACTTCCTTCTCAAAGCCTGGTGGTGGGCCCTTACTGAACAGTGCTGTATACTGTATTTCCCAGTCACTACAAATTGTTGCAGTGACACTCAAGTTACAGCTCATCTTGCTTGGTCATTATGGCTCAAACCACCAGACGCTGTCTTTACATCAGAGACAGCGAGAGCTGTCCTTAAACCCAGGCTCCAGGAGACAGCTAAAGCGTCGACTTGCAGACCGGATCAGAGAAAGACAGAATGATAAACAGACGGACATGGGAACAGAGAGACGGAGAAAACAGAACAGACAGGGTGCTGCATTGAGTTGAGAGGTGTGAGGATGTTTGATAAGCCATTATCACTCCTCTTGGTGGATATCAGGCCCTTTGCCTTGTTCTTTCGCTCAACACTTTCTCATCACAGCCCTCCCTCTCCCTTTGTCTGTTTAATCTTCTGCAGCCAAACATTTGGTATGCACATTCTAGGAAGATATGGGCTGACACAGACTGATGTGCTGCTAATGCCTGTTTTATCCAATGACTTCTCATTTATCAGGGCTGCTACAGCTATTGTGTGCTATGGGCCCAACACACAGTATTTAACATGGTGAAAAGAAAAACCTCAACAACATAGATAAGAAGCCTCGGTGACTACTGGATGTGCATTTCATACATTTCTTAGACCCACCATTTTCTTTTTGTTAGCTTCTATTCTTCTTCTGTTCACTGTCTACTCTATGGGCCAACTTTGTATCTGTGCCTTTTATAAGTCTTGAGTTTCTTGCACTGTATCTCTGTCTCCTCATTCTTTCTCTTCCTCAGCAAACCCTTTCCTTGTCTTTGCAGGGGAGGCGCTCTGCATCATGCAAGGGCCATCTTCTACGACGCACCATCAGCGTTCCAGTGGAAACACAGTTTCCAGAGTTCTGCAGCCAGCTGTCCACGGAGAGCGGTGAGTAGCCTGAGGACATGCCTCTGCAGCGATCAGGATGTATCACCACTCCACATATTTTATTGCCTTTCTAGGTGCAACTTAATCAAATTAGAATGAAGTCGAATACTGAAAACTTGTTTAACATGGTTTTGGACATGTAACAATATCATTTATTATCGTGGAGACTGAAGAGAAGTCTGTGCTTCTTACAGCTCGGTTCTGGTTTGGGCTTTTTTCCTACAGTGTTCTCTGTCCAGTGCTGCTAAAGATCACTGTAAATACCAGTAAGTCAGACTCAGGCTCTCATATGTAGATACTGTTCTACACAAAGGTCAAATGTGCAGTGTAACTCAAGAGAAGCACTTACTCACATGCACATTACTCACATGCCTGAAAGAGCCTTTTAAATTGCTGACCCTCCTTTTTTCTACCTCGTATCCACTAGATGGAGAGCTTGCTTCTTCACAGTCTTTCTCTGCACTTATAATCCTACATATATCCTAACCACATTCAGACAAATACTGAATATGGTTTTGTTCTCTTTCAGAGTGCACGTGTCGTGGCACTTTCCCTGTTGCTTTTTTGATAGTGTTATGCATGTATTATAAAATAATTGGACAAGATGGAGCACCTCAGTATAAACTGTGGGTGTCCAATGGGGTGAAGAGACAGAATCAGTCGAAATGAGACTGTAGGTGGCACTGAGGTTTGACCTTTAAGGATTTGTATCCCACAGTTACTGTTGCTGGGTTGTTGGCTGGCATGCAACCCAGTATGAGCCAGTGTGCGCAATGGTTATGTAATTGAAATGCATTTTCATGATGTCAGTACATTTGTTTGAGGACACCACGCATACAGTGCAGTGCAGTGCGTTGAGTTTAGGTTTTATGAAGTTTAATGATTTCCTGAGGTGATGGCGCTCCTCTCTCTTGAGACCGTAGTCTGGTAAGAACTTTTAACCAAGATTCTGATTGTTTGTTACTAAAGTGGATTTAGTGATACATTGGCTTTAAATAGAGTCATAACTTCTGCAGGCACTGTATGCTCATGCACTGTTAAAGGTTTGTGTAAACTGTTATTTCCACATCTGTCTGTGTGGTGAATGATACAGTGGCATCTGTAGGTTTACCAGCCCTTGACCCTTAGAAGGAGACATTCAATTCAATGTTACCAGTGTTATCACTTTATTTAGGACAGTTGTCTCTTTTTCCTCATATCCGTTATCTCGCTACTGAGGTCACATTCTTACTGATAACATGATGAGGGCTAAAAAGTCAGATAAGCACAAATGTCCTTATGTCTTTTCCCCAGAGTTGTCTGCATAACACATTTGGCTTTTAGTGTTCAGATACGGCACTAAATCATACAAACAAAACATCCAAAAGAACAGAAAAGTGAATCCTGTTTTGTAATGTATATTCACTGACACAAATGATGAGTTGGTGATGAGCATACAGCATCGTTACACTGGATCTGTATGATTACAATAGTTTGATTTTGTTTATCGGAGAAGAAATGGAGGCTAAAAGAATAAACAGTTGTCTGTCAGCTAGTTCGCTAATTACAGAGTACCTTTGTAAATCTGCCACTGACATTCATGATTGTTATGTAAGATCATTTCTGCATTGCTGATTCATAGATCAGACTCCAGGTAAACTAATCTACATGATAGCTAGAATACATTATAATACATCCATATATTACTATAGGAGTTGTTATGCTCGCCATTTAAACAGAATTTCATACTTCATACATAGCTGTTCTGTCACCGTTTGAGGTATTTAAAAGGGACAGAACATTTTATTTTTATCACCTGGCCTGATATTTGCTTTTGGATTTGACCTCAGTGGTCACTGCCAACAAAAAAATAACTATAGGAGCCTTTATATGTGAGAAGCAGCGTTGAGTGAACACACTGAATGATTACAGTACAGAAATGTTTTTGTGTCCCACCACTTATGATTTAACAATACAAGGGAGCTGCAGTGAAAAGCAAGGATAAATTCATTATGAACAGTCAGATGGATGTGCATTATTGTTAGCATTAGTACCTGATTCATTAAAAGACAATTAAGGTGTTTTTCACAGGAACAAAACAAAGGCTGTACTGACAGAAGGATTTTTATTAAATGTGGTTTTTGGGTGCCCTGATAGCCAAATGATATGTCAAATAAAGGCTAAAATTCCCCCAAAATTATAAAATTGTCTTTGAAAACCAAATGGTATTATCTGTTATTGTGCCCTCTACAATGTTTAACCTTTAAAGTTGCATTTGTGCTTGTGTGTGTGTGTGTGTGTGTGTGCACCTGTAGTTTTCAGATAATACTCTACATCACAACACTACAAACACTCACCCTGTTTGTTTTCCTGAAAAAATGAATGTAAGCTCCACCTGCTCTTGTCCTTGTGTGACACAGGCTCTAAATGAACTGTGTGACATAAAAACTACACTTTGTTGATTAGATATCCGCAGCAAATCAGAGATCTCTCATCGTGTCTCATGCTCTGACTGAATAGTGAGCGGCTGCCACCTCTGTTATTTTGGAGTCATGGAGGCTTTAGCACTAGGGATGGAGAGTGCTGTTACACTCCCAGTCGTACTGAGGTGAACGTTCTTTTTGGATACGGCACCGGAAAGGTTCTCATTTCTTGGTTCTTTAAAGATGCTGCTCCATTTTACAGTTTTTACTTTGATAAATATTTTCATTGAAGCTGTAACATTGTAAATGGAGCTCCATAAGTGACCATAGTCTGGTTTTAATGATTTTTACATGCCTTGTAGCCCAAATGCTGCCTCCCTGCCATTATTTTAACACTGCTAATGTCCCGCTTGACTCCATCTCTCTTTAGTTTATAATTAGCTGTCTTTAGCCATAAAGCTACTTGTTTATTTTGAGCTGATCACTGGTCTGTCTTGCCAGCAGACAACTAAATAATTGATTGGTTTGTCTTGTCGGTATCTTGTCTTACATTTTTAATAAAGATGAACTCAAAATGTATCAAATACGAGGTGCTATAACTTGATGAAGAACTCTGCACAGTTCAGATAAAATATTTTCAGGATAACGGTTGGCTGGGCTCCGTTTGGCTACAAGATATGGCTGAAAGGGAGGGTGGATCCATTTTAATGGCGTGCAAGTTGAGTTCAGTTTAGTTTATTTAGATCAAAACACCGTCAAGGATTGATTTATTTCTTTAGTGGTCCGAGAAGAAGTCCGGAACATCCAACAGACATCCACAACATAATCAATTGACACTTGATGTTGTAGATATGATGTAGGATCACTGTCAGCCAATAATCCAACAGTGGCAGCTGCTGTAGATGCTGTGGTAACGCTTCTTGTTGAGGCTATAGAATTACTGCACTTGAAATGGATTCACAGAAGGGCAAAGTTGTTGGACTATGATCTGTAACCAATCCAGCCCTTGCTGCCAAACTTTCATTTATTTTGACAGTTTTTGGGAGTTGGCAGTACAATACATTTTACATTTGTATCTAGAGATAACAAGCAATGCATAATGCATGTTAACCAATCTTCCCTAAAGCAGTTAGTTGACTACAGCAGTCAATTAGTCAATGGCCAGAAATTTTCTAGCAACTAATCTGATATTGAGTTAACTGTTGTCCATTTCCATCCTCTCAAATGTCAGAATTTCTCATTTTACATCACTGTAGACTGAACAAGCAGGTTGAAGAGCTCTGAGACACTGTAATAAGATTTTTGACATCTCAAATACGACACAATTCATCTAATAACGAAAATAGTCATTATTTGCAGACCTAATGTTTATTCACCACATAAACTGTCAGGTCGGCAAAAATAGCATTTTGTTTTTGGGTGCAGAATGAAAATGAGAGCCAGTGCAACCTGGCCATGGTTTTGAGGCCACCCACTGTTGACATCTAGGTTTGCAGTACTATGCAGTGTAAGTTCCTAAATGCTTCTGATATGTTTATGCTTTACAATTTGATGTTTCTAAGCCCTTTTTATGATGACAAAAAATATACTGAGTTTAACATCGATCATTGTGAAATCATCCAGTACTGTTACACATCCTCCCTCTACCCATCTCTCTCTCTTCCACCACAGTATGGAAACTGCTCCTCTCTCTCTCTCTCTCTCTCTCTCTCTCTTTCCTCCCTCCCATTCTGTGCTCTCTCACTCTCTTGCTCTCTCCACGCTCCAGAGAGGGCTCCAGTCAGACAGTTGTATCACAGCGGTAGAAGCCTGGCTGAGCTGGCAGGCTGCGGAGGCCTGACCAGAGCCAGCAGCTGTGACTGGACAGAACAGCGGACAGGAGACGGCATTGGCGGCCACAGCAGAGGAGATAAAACAGTAGTTGTAGTTAAGAGCTGACTTTGCCTCAGGATATGGGTGTGCTGGTCTGGGCACTCATCACACTGTGAATTTAACATGGACCCTGGTACCAGCAGCCATCCAGAGGCGCAGCATGGTGAGTGAGATTTGAAGCACCAGGGTGGGAGGAAAAGATGAGGAATGATGACAGTGACACTATGGAAAAGTAGAAGAGCGTGTTAATGAATAGTGGAGCTAGGTCACATGGTTTTCCACTTGGCATGTTATTATGACTAGGCTCTCCTTTTGGCTCTAAAGCTGTTGATTAGGACCTCTGTGGTCAAATGAATAGGAGTTCAGTCTGTTCTGTTGGGCAGGGGGTTAAGGGGTGAGACGCCCAAGAGGCATTTTGTCCTGACTTTTTTTTATCATTACTTTAACAGGAGTTTAAAGTTCTTGGCCTCGGTAGATAAGAATATTAAAAGTTGCATAGAAAATTATGTGAATCTGCGATTTGTGGAGCTTTGTGGAGAAGGAAACACTCATCTTGCATTTTGAATGCAATAATGAACTGTGGCATATGTGTGGGCCGTGGGTGCAGCATTTCAGTTCAAAAGCAGCAAGATGATGTGATGGTTATGTGACTCTGTATATCTGTATGCTGTGTAGTGGTTGCAGCATGTGGGTGTTTGTGTTAGACACAGAACGGCACGGAAGAAT